GAGAGAGGGGAGGGAGAGAGAGAGAGAAAGGAAGAAAGAAGTAACAATCTACATAATTGTATATAGATATGTATTATCATTTTAATATACAATATGTTGAAAAAATTAGTAATTACCATCTGAAGAAAGACGTGTGACTGAGCTTGATGGCTGGACTTCTGTTTCTTCATCGCCTGAAACACGGAACAATAAACGGTTGTTCATAACAGTATTTTATATCAATCAATAAGATATTTATCTCAGAAAAAAAATAATTTTTATTTTATATGTTATTTAATAAAACATGAAATATTTTAACTATATGTCTATACATATAGTATTATTTTTTAATAAATCACGAATATATCCATAGGAGGTTTATGCTTGGTAATGTTCTATACGTATCCACAAAATATTATTACATTAAAAAGTGTTTATCCTATAACTACACTGAAAAATATTATTGAAGTATTATTTATGTGAAAGATGCATTATACATCCACACTCATATATTAAAAGAGTAAAAGATTCTCTACATAACTAATAAAAAATGTTCAAAATTTCCTCAGCAAGTATTATATTGAGCTTTTAAATGTAAATATGAAATAAAGAACACAGAACTTTATAGACAAGTCAACTTTATTCTTTTTATTTACATCTAGCATACATGCATAATAACAGCTGTAGTACAAAATTCAAGAGGATGAAATCTACAGAAGGAAAATGTATGTCGCGTGATTAACGCTTTCTCTTTCTTTCAACAACAATGTATCTCAGAAATATCATCAATCGATTAATAAACGATCTGCCGATCGTTCAATTCTCGTGAAATAATCGCATCAACGTACGCTCGATACTCGCTCGAATTACATAATTGTCAGTGTCCTGAAAATCATTGTGAGAACTTGGCGGCGACGGGGGCGCACGGGGAGCACGCGAAAAAAATGGGCAATGTGTTATCGTACCCCCGTGCCGTTGAATGTTGATAGATGATACATAACACACAACACCCCCTTCGACATAGCCCCCTGCAATGAGGCGCGCGCGCGCGCGCGTATCGCGCTACCGTCAGCGCTACCCACCATCGGACAAAGGAGCGTCGAAGTGAGGTTAGGTACGCGCGCCTCCGACGCCCGTCGCCGTCGCGGCTGCGGATGCGGCCGCGGGCGTGCGGCTGCGGCGTCGCGATGGACAGATTGAGCGCACTTACTCAGCGGCTTGTCCCGTCCGATTCTTTCGATCCAGCTGGACCAGGGCTGGCCGTGAAAGAATGTTGGGCTGTCACTTCCCGACATTGCCAATGGCGCTCGCGTTCCGAGTGAAACACGGCGCGGTCCTCGCGTGTATATAGCGTGGCGAGAATGTTTTTCGGGGGCCGGGCCGCGTGGACTGTCAGGTGCGGCGCGATACTATACTCCACGCTATATCTACTCTCCCTCACCCCCGCGATCTCCGTCGCTACCGTCGCGTCAGTCGCGCGTGTGAGTGTGTGTCGCCCCACGGCCAGACGCATTTGCCTCCTCCTCTTCCTCCACCACCACTACTCTCAACTCTGACTCTGGCTCCCTCTCGCTCTTACTCTTCTCCACAGTTCCCCTATCTCCTCTCTCCCTTCCTCCTAACCACCGATTCCACTAATTGCAAGTACGCGTAGCACGCGCGCGACCAATTGCCCCTTTCAAACGTATATCTCGACCAACATATCGCCGCGTCGTGACGCTGTGTGACGATTTCGCGACGCGCCGTCACGCGAGTCAAGATGCTGGCTCCGTCGTCCAGGTCGTCCTCGCGATTCCACCGTTCCGCGTGGCTTCTCGCGTACCCATCGAGTGCACGCACACACTCTCGCGTATCGCACGCGCGCTCTACTACGAACACCGACCAACACTGCGGATCTGCGAGACGGCATTGGCCGATGCTGCTCTGACGTCACGGCCTTCGTGAGCATGACAACGTGCGCAGAACGACCAGCCAATCGCGACGAGTCGAGTCGCGTACGATGTAAACGACGCGCGACGTTGCGCCGACTGTTCTCCGCGGCAGGTGGATCGTGGATCGTGTCGCGCGTTGCGCTCCGGTGTCATTCACATACATGACTTCATTGATAAATTTCTGTTGAATGCAAACCGCGCGTTGTTGAGAACTTTCTTTATAAAATACGATTGATAACACCGTAAATCATGTAGGTATTTGTTAATATTTTCAATCGGATTAAAGAAGATATCGACAATTTTAATCGTAAGTCTTTTCCTTACGAAAAGTCATTACACTGATTCATAGCGCGCTGCAGCATTAGAGAGTATAGAGAATGATTATGATTCAGCAGAAATTTTGGCTGCAGAAAGATTACAGCATAATGTAAAGATATCTCAATGATAACGCAATCGTTGGATTATTAAATATACTTCGATTTTTCTGCAGTTTGAACATTTTGAAATAAAAGTTTATAATCTTTTTTTTTTTTTGGAAGTACTAAAATTTATTTTCTGGCTGAACTTTCACATAATATCGTCATTTCTATTTTTTTGTATAAAAATTTGATCACTAATTCTATTATGGAGGCAAGTCATGCAAATTCGCATAATCACGTGACATTTATTTCGATCGCCTTCGAATCTTCTATCCTCGAGAGACCGGATCGATGTAATAATCCTGATTGACGACTCTTCGAAACATGAAATCGCATATTTTTCCAAAGAGACGGTTTTGACTAGGAATAACCGCTGTCGTCATCAACGGTCATAAATATACATCGACGATTGAGTCCTTATCCTATTATTAGAAACAAATGCTTAAATTTACAGTCTTGTTGGTTATTCGATTTACAATTCATTCGACGTCTTAACCGGCGAAAAACGATCTTGAATTCGGTTGCGTTTGGGCTGGCCGGGCGGTGTTGTTCACGTCGCCACGATGGGCTTGAATCGCCTGCCAGTTAATGTACCAAAATGGTTGCTTGTCTCTCGGCCAGGTCTTGATCCTATTTATCAAGTCAATGTCGCCGTGAGCATCGACTGGTAAATCAGCTGGATTTATAGTTGTGCTTAGGGACGGTGTAGCTGCAGCTGCACTCTCTTCACCTATTCGATTTCCAAGCAGCGTGCTATCGGTACCAATGTGACTCCCTTGATATGCTCCTTGAGCTCCTTGATACGTTGGAATTCCATAAGATCCTTGATACATTGGAATTCCTTGAGATCCTTGACGCACTGGAATTTCTTGAACTCCTTGACCTACTGGAATTCCTTGAGCTCCTTGACCTACTGGAATTCCTTGAGCTCCTTGACCTACTGGAATTCCTTGAGCCCCTTGGCCCAATGGGATTCCCTGTGTCCCTTGGCCCACTGGAATTCCTTGTGTTCCTTGGCCCGCTGGAATTCCTTGAGTTCCTTGACCTACTGGAATTCCTTGAGCTCCTTGACCTATTGGAATTCCTTGAGTCCCTTGACCTACTGGAATTCCCTGAGCCCCTTGGCCCAATGGGATTCCCTGTATCCCTTGGGCCGCTGGAATTCCTTGAACTCCTTGACCCACTGGAATTCCTTGAGTTCCTTGACCCACTGGGATTATTTGATCTCCTTGAGCTGCTTGACCTGCTTGAGTCGCTTGCTCCGCTGCTATTCGCTCGTCAATATATTGAGGTAGAACCTGAGGCAGACGATTACCGGTACCAGCGTGCCATGGTCGTTGCGACTGCACCATGTAGAACACAGTAGCGAAGAGTATAGTATATTTCAACTGTAATGGAGAATAATTTCAATTTAAATGGATAAAGATATATTATTTTAAAAATGCTAAGAATTTTGTTTCTCTATCATTTAACAAATTTAAATTATTTGGGAAGATGATATATTATGAATAAATATGTTTAGCTAGGACTCTCTCTCTCTCTCTTTAAAATAACAATGACAACTAATTCAAGGCTCCTGAGAGTCAGTACGATTATTGTAATGTAAAATATAAATTGATTACACCTTAGATGTAGAGGTGTCTTCTTCATTTAAAGTTCTTATACGTTTTGATTCATTTTGAAGCTTTTTTCAGCATTTTCACTTTTCCTATATTATATTGGTTCAGTATTAATAATGATTATTATTGAATAAAATGGCACATAAACCATTCTATAGTGTTAAGCATTAAATTTGCGAAATTTCAAAACTTTATGACCAAGTTGGCGTGTGTTGAAAAGCCATTATAAATTTGGTAACTTGTGAGTAACTTTTCCTCAGTAGACTGCTAAACCAATATATTGTAGTACAGGAGAATTGAAAATGCTGAAGAGGATTCCAAAATGAATCGAAACGTACAAGAATTTTAAATAAAGAAGACACCAGTACATCTAATTGTAAGGTGTAATTATTTTATATTTTCCTTTATAATTATCGCCCACTTCTTGTCACACTGATTCTCAATTGTCTTAAATTAGTTGTCATTGTTATTATATATTATTATTAGTTAACATTGATAATGAAATACAACTCATCATAAAATAAAGATTTGTATAATTAATCAATATAAATATTGCAAGCTATAAAGTGTAAATACAAATTGTCAAATAATCTCTCTTCTAAATTAGTATTAATATTAGTAATAAATGCAGGTTATATAATACAAGAGTATTAATTAAGTAGATTAAGAAACAATCAAATCTATTTACCATGATTATCGAATATATCAAGGCGTTTACTGAATCAATAAATACACGAGGATTTCACCAATGGTATCCAACGGGACTGGGAGATTTAATGATTGTGCGATTCACCGTTCGAAACTGAAGTGCCAAGGTAGCAAGCATTCCTTCTATATAAATCGCTCGGCTTCACTCTGATCCCCACTACGAAGTCGACGAGTCACCCGTCTGTGGGAAACTTGACTGCAACTTCCCCCGATTGTCGAGTTTGCAGTATCTTGGTGGACGCAAAAGTCTTCCCGAAGTGATGTATACAAATCACTACTGAGATAAGAAAGTATTTTCTGAAAGCGCGTCTGCGAGTCAAGTTTCGCAAAGAAAATATACTTGCAATTTATCACGACGATAAAGTTATGTTGTCAATCATCCTTTTAATTTCGGTTCATTCGTGCGCGTAAATTCCAGTGAATCCCCTATATAAATTAAAATTTGTACAACACTTAGATATTATATTAGGTTGAGTAAAAAGTCATCGCGTATTTTTTAGCTCAAAGTTGTATATACGAGTACAATATCTTCGTCAATAATGAATGAAATTCAAATTTAAAAAAAGGGTTTTAAAGCTTGAAATCTCTACTTTTAAAAGCTTATCACATTTTTTAAGTTTATATGAGTTTGATAATTTTTACATACCAAAAACTACGAGCTGAAAAAGACGAAAAATTTTCTTCTCACTTTGTGGATTTGTAACGTGTCCAAAACGAATTTGAGAAAATTTTCGATTACCTATCGTGAAAGCTTGATACTTTCCCTACAAAATCGTTTTTTTTAAATATTCCTACGACTTTTGATTACTGAGTTATCGCGGATTAAATAAAAGAATTATTTTGACTTTAATTGCTCATAACTCCATTAAAAATTGTCGTATCGTATAATTTAAAAAAGAGATTTTTAAAGCTGAAACTTTACTCTATCAAGATATATTTATATTGTTGGTAAGAAAGTAATTGCGGTTTTTACTGATATAACATAGATGTCTTTTAAAAAAACGCGATGACTTTTTACTTAACCTAATATATTTGTGGAATGTCTGAATGCAGAAAAAAATATGTGGAATTTTTATATTATTAATTGATATGTAAACTTATAAATTATTTTTAATGTGCTATAATTAAGTAAAAGCATTAATTAACATTCTTCAATTACATTCTTTTCTTCTGGTGTATTAATAAAAATTACATTATTAATAATTAAATAGAATTTTTAATTTATGTTAAATGAAAATAAATTGGGTTTATATAATAAAAGAAATTCTATATTATATATAGAAAAATTATATATATTTAGTCGTTGATAGTGTCAAACACTTGTGTACATAAAACAGCAAATGTATGTATTTGACAATTCAAAAGTTTAATGACAATGTTACGATGTTATTCTTCTAATAGTTAATTAATCAATAATTACCGAGAGCAAATAATGGATAGACTCATTTTTTAGGTATGCATTCGAAAGATTATGACAATCTTGGAATGACTATATCTAATTTTCTGAATAACACACCGTGAAATTGCAATGTCAGCAATGACAATGAATTTCATACTTTTCCAGCTTCGTCAGCACATTACATTTACGCCCGTATTTATCGTGGTTTTGCGGTTTTAACAAAATGTTGAGGTATTTAACTAAGCTGATAAATCCACGTTTTCGTCATCACGAATCCGCAGATATAGTTCGTAAGAAAAGAGATACGAGTTGTTTATTCATATGAATTTCTTATGGAAACAGTGATAGGAAGCAAAAATTACTTTGATGTGATTATTCACGAAAAATATTCATTAAGAAATTATATGTCAAACTGTAATCTTACGAAGACCTTTGGAAATCATTGATTTTTGTAATGCTAGCACATTTTTAGTATTCCTAATGGAGCACGCCGTCATTTCTCGTTATATGAAAACAAGAACAGATTGCAAAAATTATTGCATTGGTCAACGGTTCATGGCAATTATAATCTTTATCATGCGCGTAATGAAAAAAAAAGTATGAAAGATAAAAATTATCTTATTATTTATAGCGTGTCCGCTAAATTTTCATATGTAGCTTTTGACTAAAGATTCTCAATTATTACGACAAAGTGGAAGTAATCTGAAAAAAATGCAAATATTTCAAGAATTATATATTTCACAAGTTTTTTTCTTATAAATCATACGTTATAGACTTGTAGTTTGATAAATATATTATTTTTCCAAGCTTATCTGCAACGTTTATCTACATAAATATATCTTATGTTAGATGCTGCAATTAAGTTCGTTTATAATTTCTATCGATAATTCGCGTGAGCGACAGTAATTACGATATAACAACGCAAATAATTAATGATCCCCAGTGGCTGGAACGATGGAAAATTAGTACATTTTCCTCTGAAGATTTTCTTAGAACTCATTTTTCCGTAGTATTTCTCTTATCTTTAGATTTTTACCTCCGCTTGGTTTTCATGGTCAAGACGTGATTTCTTTATTTAGTTCAAGAAACGAGGAAATTTTGTTTCTTTCGTTCTGTGACGGAATATATCTTTTTATTGGTGATAGACTCATTATTTACATCAAATAATTGGTTCAATCAGAATCCGGTTTTGCCGTTGGCGTATCGATGGAATTACCAGATCAGTAATTTTCCCTACTCTGCACAGAATATGTCTTGATAAATATCTTAAGTAGCGTAGACACAAGAAATTATTAATTGCAATAATTAACAGTCATATTATAAAAAATTAAATAAAATTTTTAATTTATCAAGACGTGTGATAGTATCTTGTAATATGCTATTAAATACATATACGTACAATAGAAAAACATTTACGTATAAATAATAGAAAATACAATAGAAAATTGACTTGTATAAATTAAGTATAAATTGAGTATATATAATTTAGGAAGAAAATGTATCGTCAGTCATACTTTGAATCGTTCTAAATGAGATTTTCTCCGAAGTGATTAGAGGTATGCGGTACCTTTTCATGAATTATGTGCCTTCATGCTTGTGCATTTAATCGAAAGCGCTTTTACGATTTTTTTGTTCTCGCAAATTGCGTCATGCAAAATAGAAATACAGTCGAAGCAAAATATTTACGGCCGTTCTTCTCGCCTGGCCATGACGGAATCAGATTGTGGGGATTAAAGGCCGCTGCTGCTGCGAGCTTATGGAAACTGGAAACAGTGCTGGACCGGGTTTTTCCCAACCAGCTTTGAACCATCAAGTGTGATAAATTTCACTGTGAATGGCTAGCTAGAAGTCAGTAGTTTCCGTTAAAAATGATAAAGCGGAATCTAATTTGCAGCGCAATTTTCATAAACGTTGTCGTTGGAATTGTGCAAATAATAAAACTGCCCGATGAAAGAATTGACATGAGTTTTTAAAATCATCTTTTGTGGTAAATGTAAATTGCGAAAGAATGGATTCATTTGCATTTACGTTATAACACATTATTAATAATAAACCCATATCAATGTGGTAAGTCAAGCTCGTCTAGAAATTTGCCATGTATGTTTATAAATAAACAACCGCCGCATTAAGTTCGGAATCATCTACGTCATTAGAATTATGACGCATCAGATATAGAATTTCTTGCCTGGGTGATGAAAAACGATGATCTTCAATATGCAAATCAATATAAAATAAACAAGAATAACTTTATATTCTCATTAATGCTACATTCTCGCGTTTATTCACGAATTGATGAACACTAGAAATTTTAATACATTTGTAGAATAAAAACATTTACTATAAATAACACACACACACACACACACATTTATACAACCCTTTATATCATTTATGAAATTCGATCGCCAATACCGTTATCATTAGATTTTAGTTATGTATACATATAAATTATGAGAATAAATTATATATAATTATGGGTCTTTGTTATAGTCGAATATTAGTGATACAGTTATAAGTCAAATAATACACTCTTAATAATGAAATAATAATTATATTTAAAAAATCTTAGATAACAAATCATTGTTTATTCGTTATCGTATTATTGTGATACGATAAGATAAAATTTTAATCATGAAGATTTTATTATAAAAATATAGTAATTGCTTACTGAACAAAAATTACGGCGCAGAATCATCGATAAGGAAATGTGTTGGAAACCAGTTTAAGCGTAATGTCTTTACCGAAGTATGCTAATCTACCCGATAATGTACATTTATCCGTTTTTACTTTAAGATTGAATTTATTTATAAATATATGTGAGGTATACATACATACATATGTAATTATGATTTCTATAACTCGATGCAATTATAATTTCTAATATTATAATAGATGTATGTGTGTGTTTGTGAGAATATTGTTCTCGTGCAATTGAACATCTTTCTATTTCAAAAAGATTTTTTAAATCCTTATATTTCAAATATATTTTGAGATTCTTGTGATGTACAACTATTTTTTAAAAGATTTTAACTGTTTCAAGAGACTTGATAGAATAGATACGTTATTCTTAAATCGATCAATTTACAGAAATAGGCAGGAAAGTGTGTTATAAATGCAATAGTTCGATTTCCTGGTGCCAGGATGGTACGAAACTAATCGTTATAATGTTACATAAAAGTCATTATTCCAGAGTCATTTTTTTATTCTAATCTTTAATCAAGTCTCTTAAAACCCTAAATAATCTGCTTTTATATTCCGAATCTATAATGAATAATTTCTATTGTATCGATTTGAACAGTTATACTTAACTTATATAATGCAGTCATTGATTTATGATTTATTATATTATTATATAATACATATTTAAATAATTAAATCAACTAAAGTACATATTTAAATCACTATACATTAACTAAAATAATTAAATTAAGGATATTATACATATTTAAAAAAAATTATGAAAAAGTTTTATAGATTATTTCAGATTGCATTTAAAAGTTAGATGAAATATTTATTAATGGCGGTTTATCATTTAGATCAAAGGTTATTACAAGAAGTAGGATTTTTTATTTGTGTTTTAATAGAAATGTATCGATGAAAATTATAAAATAATGACAAAAAATTTAATTTTTTTATATAAATACTGCAAAAATTCTACATGATTTGTGTAAAAAGAATTTTTATTTTGATGCAAAAATTAGTTATCCTGTAAATT